CATAATATTATGAAGAGGACGATCATTATCATCAACGGGTTCATTCTCCATGATTTCTAAAATATTATATCCATTCACGATCCTTCCAAACACAACATGTTTACCATCCAAGTGAGGTGTAGGACGTGTGGTCATAAAGAACTGAGAAGATTGTGTATTGGGGCCACGATTGGCCATACTTAATAAACCATGTGTATCATGTTTGCGTTGAAAGGATTCGTCAGGAAATGTTGCACCATAAATACTTTCTCCACCAGACCCGTTACGACGTGTGAAATCTCCTCCTTGACACATGAACCCTTTAATAATCCGATGAAAGATCGATCCACGGTAATGTAAAGGCATATTGCTTACTTTACCAAGTCCCTTTTCACCTGTACATAACGCCCGAAAATTTTCAGCTGTTTTGGGAACCTCATCAGCAAAGAGCTCCATGATGATTCTACCAACTAAAAAAAAACACAAAAAGAATAAAACGTTAATCATGTTCCACGCGACCTTTTCTCTTTCTTTCTTACTTACTTCTGTTACCATCAATGTCTATATCGAAAAAGACACGAGGATTGATCTTCATTATATAATACTTGTCACAGAGTCAAAAAAAAAAAAAAAAGGAAAAAATAAATAAAAGGATTACACACGTACTTTTCCGTCATGTAATTCGAGTGACTGGTATAACATAGTTTTACAAAAAGTATTTCCAGAGAGTTTTTTTTTTTTTTTTTTAATTATTTGTATATACTTCTTTTCATCTTTTTAAAAAAAAACTAAAATGTCAGATTCCAGTTCAAAACAAACCACAAGAAATGTAGCAGAAGCTACTCCTGTTCATGTCTTTATTTCACAAAACGCTGGTATGCTTGTAAAGTTATTATCCTTTTCTGCCGCTTTATTCGCTTTTCCTATCCTTACTTTTTTCTGTACACTCCATAGTTTATTTGAAGGTAAAATGAATATTTATTATTTAAAACAGAGTGAGAGAGTATTAATATATAATATTAGGTAATACTACTTATGCCGCAGGAGCTGCAGTAGTCATGGCAAATGTTATTGTGGTTCTTTATATCGTTGTTGCCTATTTCGAGAAGCCAAGAACGGATGTAACAGAAGAAAAGAAGGAAAACTAGAGAGAGAGAGAGAGAGAGAGAGAGATGGGGGAATATGTGTAATAATATTTGTAATAATAAAAAAAGGGGGAAAAGTTATAAAAAAAAAGCACGTGATTGAATACTTTTTTTTTTTTTTTTTCAAGAAGTAGTTGTAGTTGTAGTTTGCTGTTTTCGTTGATGCACATAATCATTCATATAAGTGGTGACTGCTGATATTAAATCATGAAACCGGTCTTCATGGTAAATTGGATGGTCTTCAGGATACCAAGAAGACCTTTTTTGTTTTTCCCATTCAGCGAAATTCGTTAACTGATGACTGATACCATCAATAAATCCAGTCCAGTCTATTTGTTTCTTTGCGAATGTAACTAATCTTCCAGGTGAAACGATTTGAATAAAATCGTCTAATAAACTAACAAAGAAGAACAAGCAAAATAAACTACTGATGGCTGCTAACGTAAACGTACCAATCGTCATCGTCATAATCGATCGTTGGTGACGAGGTGTAACTATATTATTCATCCATCTTTTTAATTCACTTTTATTCGTTGTAGCTGTGGTTGTAGTTGCAGACATTTTTTTTTTTTTTTTGTTGGGGAAATAAAAGAAGAAAAAGAGAAAGAAGAAAATTAAAAAGTAAACTTTTTATTTACTTTTATATATGTATATATATATATATATATATGGATAGAACATATGGACCAAGCCTTATTATAGATGCATCATACTATTTTTTTTCTTTCTGTGCCTCTTTCTCTCTCTCTCTCTCTCTCTTTCTTCTTAATATCTCTTTTTTTTTTAATTAAAGCCAGAAATGGTGAAAATCAACATCATTGTTATAGCTGTTGTAATCATCTTATTCACGTTTTCGTATTTCACGTGAAGATCGTTTCTGTTTCTTTTGTTTTAGAGCTAAAATTATGGGGTCGTTTCCGAATGTGAAAAATTCAGTCACATTTGTTACCTTGGACACACGGATTCCTCCATTTTTTACCCTTCAAAAGAGAGGACTCTATTGTTCTTCCTGTCGTTACGTAAATAATAAGCGGTAGTTTAATAGATCCTGATGTCATGGTAATATAAAAGTAATATTACTATAGTTTTTAATTGTTATGCAGCATAGAAATCCCTGCTTTATTCTTTGATGTACATATAAAAAAAACATAGAATTAATTCATGTGCGTCTACTGTAATCGAAACTTCTTTTTTTTTTTAACTGTGAGCTCTTTTTTAATTTACCAAGAAAAAAAAAAAAAAGTGTCATTTAAAATTCTACATATACAGTGTACCTTCCGGTTTCAGGCCGAGGATTTTATATGATATGGCTTTAAATAGATTGAGTACGGGAACTCATGCTGGTTATGTTTTCCCTTTTACGATTTCTTTTCAAGGTTCATTACTCGGTTGAGTACTTTGCTATAATCAAGTCATTAACCCTCTTTTTATATATCGTTTTGTTAAGTACCATCATCATGCAAATGTAATTCAGTTTGAAAATCAGTGAAGGGAATTTTGATTGACCAATAGGATGGTAGAGTTTTTCTTTATATTTAATTTCTCCATTCAATTAAAAAAAAAAATCCTCTTTTCCCTCTCTCTTTCTCACTCTCTTTTTTTTTTTTTTTTCTTCTTAAAAGTCTTTGATACCATGACACAGTCAGAAGAAGATAGTGCGACCTCCTCTCAAACTTTATTAAGTCACAGAAATAACTCCAATTACAAAAGTTTCGATTCTACATATGAATGGAATGTCGAAGTAGATATGAAGGGCCAAGTGGATACTGGTGACTCTACTACAGAAAAATTCTCTTTTAAAAAATTAATGCAGTATACTGGTCCTGGTATGAAGAATAAAAGAAATATAGAATAAAAACATAACTGTTTAATAACATTTTTTTTTTCTTTTTAGGTTGGCTAATGTAAGCGTTGTGATATCAACTACATAATACCCACTTTTTTGTTAATAACTTTTTTTATATAGGGCCATTGCTTATTTAGATCCTGGTAATCTTGAATCCGATCTACAATCAGGCGCCATTGCAGGTTGTAAGTTATTATGGTTATTATTTTGGTCTCATGCAGCAGGTAATAAATTACGCACACTTATTTTAATTAAAAAAGATTACACTGTTTATTAAAAACAGTTACTTGTTTTGTTATGTTTTTTTTTTTAGGTTTAGCTATGCAGATTCTTTCAGCACGGTTAGGTGTAGTAACACAAAATCATTTAGCACAATTAATTCGAAAAAACTATAGTCGACCTTCTTCTATTCTCATTTGGGTATTTACTCAATTAGCGATTATTGGATCTGATATTCAAGAAATTATTGGTACGGCGATTGCTATTAAGATTATATTTGGTATCAAGCTTTGGGTAGGTGTTTTGATCACTGCTTCTGACACATTTCTGTTTATGTGGTTGCAGCAATACGGTGTACGTAAAATCGAAGTTTTCTTTATGGCCTTAATAGGTGTTATGATCGGTTGCTTTTGGATCGAGATGTTTGTTTCGAAACCTAGTATCGAAATGATTTTAAAGGGTATCTTGATACCCCAAATACCAAGCGAAGCAAAAGTACAAGCCGTTGGTATGGTAGGTGCTGTGATTATGCCTCATAATATGTTCTTACACAGGTAAAAAAAAAAAAAAAAAAAAAAAAAAAAAAAAGAGCATTGATTTTTTTTTTTTAAGTAAAACATGAATTTTTAAAGACAATTTGTTTCTTTTATTAGTGCCCTTGTCATGTCTCGTAATATCGGGACATCTGAAAATAAAAAAAAGGAAGCTAATTACTATTTCGCAATTGAATCTACATTGGCTCTCTTCATATCTTATTTAATCAATTTGGCTATCGTTGTCGTATTCGCTCAAGTCTTTTTCAAACCAGGACAAACAATCACTGAATTACCTGGGTTATATGATGCTTCTGAAGTTTTGTCGAGAACATTGGGTAAAAGCGCAAAGTATTTTTGGGCATTAGGTCTATTGGCTGCTGGTCAATCTTCTACCATGACCGGAACAATGGCAGGTCAATATGTAAGTATATATACTGATTTGTTTGTATATTGACATATCAGATAAATTAAAAAAAAAAAAAATTAGGTTGTTGAAGGCTTTTTTGGTTCTATCTTCAAAAAACAATGGCATCGTATTGCTTTAACTCGTGCTATTGCATTAGTTCCCAGTATGCTTGTAGCTGTACTTGCTGTAGATAATTTTGATACCATGGGTGAATTCTTGAACGTTTTACAGAGGTAAAAAAAAAAACAAAACATTTTTCAAAAAGTTTGTTTGTTACTAAATTTTGCATATTAGTCTTTGTCTTCCTACCGCCATTATACCTATACTTAAATTAACAGCATCCACTAAAATCATGACAAAGATGTTTCGTAATTCTAGGACAACAAATATTGTATGTTGGATGATTTCGTTTATCGTAATTGGATTTAATGTACATTTATTCCTCAACTATCTGCAAGAATTGAACTGGCCATTCTATGCTGTTGTCTTTAGTATCATTTATTTCTCATTTGTTATCTATTTAATTTGGATCCCACTTGAAATACCTGAAACAAAAGAAACTGATCAAGATCCTGAAGAAGATTCTTCTTGCTTTTAAATAATAAGGTCTCGTCGCTCCGAAACTCTATCATTACGTTACATTTTTATCCCTTCTCATTTTGTTTTATATCATCAACTACTACTACTACTACAGCTTATTTTTGCATTTAATTTGTTTCTTTTACAAAAAAAAATAAAGTTCCTAAACTTTATCCTCAAAGTGCTAAAAAACAAAACAGGTTTATTTCCTTCGGCCGTGTCTTGGATGTCGTAATTTAACAAAAATGAAGTTACACAAAGCTCGCCATTTACATTGAAAAAATAATCCTTGACGAGGATGGGACTCGAACCCACAATCTTTAGATTCGAAGTCTAACGCCTTATCCATTAGGCCACATCGCCTTAGGTGTGTCGTTGAAAATTTAAAAAAAATATATCTCTTTAAAAAGCGTGTTTTCACGTGACATTCACGTGACAAAAATATAGTGTCAGATAACATTTTTTTTATAGGGTGTGACTACTTCTGGTTTGTTTGATATTTATTTTGATTGTTTTTTTTTTTTTTTTTTTTTTTTTTTTAGATCTTTAACTTTTATTTTTACCTTATACCATGTCTCATCGTGAAGCACTTCATAAGCTTTTTGCCATTGCTCCACCTACTATTGAAGAGATTATTTTACAAGAAAACTCTCGAGAAAATGCAGATCGAGTCGAAGAACCAAAACCAGTAAAAACTAGCTTAAAGCGTGCTGCGGAAAGCGTGTCCAATTTGGATGATTTAGCAAGTTCAGAAGAACAACCACGACAACAACAGCCTGCTTCAATGCACGTAAGTAAACGACTTAAACCTTCAACCACAAAATCAAAGGCTTCTTCTGTAATGACTTTTAAGGATCAACCACCTGTACTGAATAATCAAGTTCAATCACCAACCTGTTCAAACAAGCGTAAAGAATTCGATCTTTCAGATCCTGAACAAAAGACCTGCAAAAAGCTCAAACCAACTGAAGCCAATATTATATCCAACCCTACACCTACTAATAAAATGCCAGGAAAGTCCACCATGACTCCTCCAAGTTCTTTAGGTGCAACACCTACTACTTCACCCACGAGTACTACTTCACCCACGAGTACTACTTCACCCACGAGTACTACTTCACCCACGAGTACTACTTCACCCACGAGTACTACTTCACCCACGAGTACTACTTCACCCACGAGTACTACAGCACCAAAAGAGGTTTTCTCGATTGATAAAATACTTGCAAGTATCAAAAGTCCTCCAGTAATAAAGTCTGTAAGTAATTCACCACCATCACCAGAAACAGTAGTAGCAGCAGCATCCATGGACCGTAGATCTAGTGGACCCACCTTATTACCATCACCAGCTCATCAATCCAGTGCATCACCGCCAGCTCATCAATCTAGCACATCATCACCACCAACAGTAACAGCAGGAGCAGCAACATCATCATCCATGGCTCGTGCATCTAGCTCACCCACTTTCTTATTACCATCAGATTATAAATTTAATACAGCACCACCTGTCTCATTAGATTCAATTGTTCCTTCTCGCTGTCCAGGATCAGGTTTACCACCACCACCATCATCATCATCATCATCATCACCATCAGCTTCTACTTCAGCAGCACCTCTTAAGAATATACCTGCACCTGAAGCTTCTCATCAACTTTCATCAGCAACGGCATCTTTCTTATTATCTTTAGCTCCAACTCCAGCATATAATAATCATCAAGCCAAGCCAATTGACCCGGTACCTCTTAAGGCTACACCTACACTTGAAGCTTCATCATCAGCATCTTTCGTATCAGGTTTAGTTCCAACATCTGCTTTATCATTAGCATGTAATACTAGTCAAGTAAATCCAATTGACCAACCACCACCACCGCCAAAACCAGCAGCACCCAAATTATCTAAAAGAGCAAGAAAGAGGAATAAAAAGAAGAACGAGTTAGCAAAGAAGGCAGCCAATCGACATGTGGACGTACCAAAAGCTACAAATGAAAGTGATTTCGATACTCTTTTGAAGGAATTCGAAGAGGCATCATCTAAATCCAATACGACAGGAAATTCAGTAGCTAAGAATAATAAAAGTAATTTACCAAAGCAAGCATCAACAGCAGCAGCAGCAGCAGCAGCAGCAGCCACACGAAAACCAGCAGTAATTAAAAAGGCACCAGTTCAAAAACCAGCCATACAAAAACCAGCAGCAAATCAACAGCATAAAGCATCACAGAACCAAAGAGTCGCACCAAATCAAACAGCATCATCAAATCAACCAGAAGCGCCTAACCAACCCAAAGCACCTAGCCAACCCAAAGCACCTAACCAACCCAAAGCACCTAGCCAACCCAAAGCACCTAACCAACCCAAAGCACCTAACCAACCCAAAGCACCTAACCAAAGGGTCGTACCCAACCAACCCAAAGCAGCAGCAGCAGCACCCTATCAACAACAAAAGGCCCCTCCTACTCAAGCCACTAATGTTCCAACACCAGCACAACATCATAGTTTAAAATCGACCGTTGTTTGTCAGTTTTTCAAGACGGGATCATGTCTCCAAGGGCCAGAGTGCCGATTCTCACATGTAAGTATTGTATAAAGAACATGAATGAAAATGATCTAATCTAATTTTTTTTTTTTTTTTTGTGTGTGTGTATATAGGACTTGAAATTGGAACCCTGCCGATTTTTTCATATGAAGGGTAGTTGCGAGCAAGGTCCGAGTTGTCCTTATTCTCATGGGCAACTCACGCAAGACAAATTGACTCGGCTTCGTGCCCTGACTGGACCTTGTCGCTTCTACCACTTCAAGGGCTACTGTAACTCGGGAGATGCCTGCCTCTTCTCTCATGATGAGGCAACAGAGGAACAAAAAAAGGTGGTAGAAGCAAACATCCTTGCTTGCAGATTCTACCACTTGACAAAGAACTGTAAGCAAGGAGATAATTGCTTCTACCTCCATGATGAAGCCACACCAGAACAAATTGAAAAATTAAAAAAACAAAAATAAAAAATTTAAATAATTGATTTTTTTTTTTTTTAGTGTTTTTGGGCTCTTTTTTGAGTTATTGCTTCTATCTATTGCAATCTTCTTGCTAAAAATACATGTATGCACAACATCTTTTTAATTTATATGTACAATATGGTACTTGCTTCATAAAATGGTTGTATATTTAATGGAATCTGTATTCATTAAGGCATTGTCTATTGTTTTATGATCGACTTTGAGTTGCCAAAATAAGTCTCTTGTGAAAGGCACCTACACCGTAGCGTTAAAAATGATGCAAGTCATCGTTTATTTAATTGGTTAGATTTGGTTTCAAACTATAAATAAGAGTCTTTTGTATTTTTTTTTTTTTTTTTTTTTTTTTTTTTTTTACTCTTCAATAACACATAATGGCCTTAGCACCTCAATTCGCTGGACACCGTTTAGGTTCCTCTCTTGCACCTCACACACTCGAGTTTTATTTGGACTATGTTGTAAGTATTTTTCATACTACTGCCTAATATATATATTAACGCGTCAAAATAGTGTCCTTTCTCTGCAAAAATGTATAAAAAACTTCGAGAGCAACTTTGGCCTTATATTTCAGAAACATATCCTGATAAATACCAAATTATTTTCCGTCAACAAGTTCAACCTTGGCATGCCACATCCACTATTGTTCACGAAGCAGCTATTGCAGTTGAAAAATTGGATAATAAAAAGTTTTGGGCATTTTCTGATGCTTTATTTCAACAACAAAAAGAGTGAGTGATTATTGTATGAAACTATTTCCTCAGATGATCTCATTTATTATTTATTAGTTACTTTGATGAAGCAGTGGAGAATAAGACACGTAGACAAGTAGCGGAACAATTATCTAAATTGGCCGAAACAGCAGTAGACGTTTCGTCTGAAAAAGTTCTTTCACTCTTGGTCAATGATACAGAAGAGGTTAAGAATGCAGGTAATAAAGTTTCAAATGACTTGAAATTGTTTATTCGTATTGGTCGACAAAATGGTATTCATGTTAGTCCAACTGTCTTATTGGATGGAATTAAAGATGAAAGTATTTCTTCTGGTTGGGAACTTGATCAATGGAAAGAATATTTAAAGAGCAAATTATAAATAAATAAATGGTTTTTATTAAATTACACACAAGATATCATTTCTTAAGCAAACAATTTAGCATAAGCTTCCTTTTGCTTTTGTTTCTTGGCAACCAATTTAGCCTTTGTGTTGGCTAATTCCTTTTTAATACCAGCATCCTCAGGATCATTTTCATGAGCCTTTGAGAAATCCTCAATAGCACCTTCTAAATCTTTACTGTTCATCTTAGCCATAGCACGACGATAATAAGCCTTGGTGATATCGGTCTTTTTCAAGTACTTGGGATCATATTCTAAAACCATGGTCGTGACCTTGATACATTCCGTATTTTCACCTAATTTAATACAACACATGGCTCTATTAAGGTAACAAGGAATCTTGACAGAAGCAAATTTAACACGAAGTTCCTCAGGATCTTCTTCATCAAAAGCGGGTTTTTCATTCAAATAACGAATTGCCTTGAGGTATTTTTTAGCAGCATTTTCATAATCACCCTTTTTAAAGTAAGTGTTACCGATATCCTTGATCTTGGAAGCGATATCAAGAATATCTTTAGGCTCTTTAGGACCTTCATGATCATCAGGGAATTCTTCATAGTTGTCACCATCATCGTTGACGGGTACACCATCGTCTTCACCTTCAGCTAATTCACCACAGTTGGTGATGATAGCATCTTGATGAGGTTTATCGTTACTGGTCTCTAAGGCTTCAAGTGTACGCACAACGGCTTTACCCTTTAATACTTTACCGAAAACAACATGTTTATCGTTCAAATGAGGTGTAGGGACTGTTGTGATAAAGAATTGAGATCCGTTTGTACCGGGACCAGCGTTTGCCATAGATAATAAGAAAGGCTTATCGTGTTTTAATTGGAAGTTCTCGTCTGTTTTATGTTAGTGATTCGTCTTTTAAAAAGAGAGGATTTTTTTTTTTTTTTTTTTTTTTTTTTTTTAACTTTACCATCAAACTTTTCACCATAGATTGATTCACCACCTGTACCATTACCAGCAGTAAAATCACCACCTTGAATCATAAAGTTCTAAAAAAAAAAAAAAGATATATATGTAAGTACGGGTTTTTCTTTTCAATTGAATTCATAAAGTTTTACCTTGATGATACGATGGAAACTGCTTCCTTTGTATGATAAGGGCTTTCCACTTTGACCGACTCCCTTTTCACCTAAAGAGAGACTTTTAATACTTGTATAGATATATATTTTTTTTAAATAAGCAACAACTTACCGGTACAAAGAGCGCGAAAGTTTTCAGCAGTCTTGGGAACAACGT